ATATTATTAATATAGCACGTTATGGAGGACAGATAAAGTGATTGCTGGCGCACTCCACTCACAGCTTTCCTTTTGCAGGTATGTCCACCAGCAGCCGAGCGGCAAAGTTGCCGAACGCTGGTAGTTTAGTCCGCGGTTCGAATCTTGGCGAACGGGTTAATTGTAGGGTCATTTTCGTGGATACGAGCCAGTTTCCCTTAAAACTCCTTGATGGGTCATCCGTTTGGTTTGCATCACGGTCATCAATTAAAAAATTATATCGAACCCTGGAAATGCAGATAAGAGAACGTTGTAAGGAATACGCCTTAGATTTGTAAGAAATGGAACTAATTTAATACTTAGTGACGATTACTTATAAATAATCTCTGTTATTAAATATTTAGTCATTTGCAAAATAGCAATCTGTTTGATAGTTTTCCAGGAAAATGTAAATCTTAATTGCAAATATCTCCTATTTCATACTATTTGGTTCTTACAAATGATTTACAGCGATATACATTTTAACCAGCTGAAAGAAATCATGAAAACGATTTTTGGTCTTAAAAATGCTGAAAACGAATGTCCAAAAAGAACTGCACGGTATAAGATGAAAAGAAAAAAAAAGTATTATTAAAGCATACTGCGGTATTTTTAGCCTTCCGCCTTCATCCATAGGAGATTACGATCTTCGACCTTTGATACTAACTCAGGCATACTTTTAGCTACACTATTCCAAAAAAAGGGGCGTCCTGTTATAGAGTCATTTGGCTTTTTGAAGCAGGAGATGAGAAAAACGTTCAGTGTCCTCGCCGTGACTCGAACCTGGACCTCTCGAATACGCGCCGAGTGTACTACCGTTGCACCACAAAGGTATGTTGAAAAAGAGGTAGAAAATACTAATGCCCCCTTTTAAAGGATGATTGGGGATTAGGGGACCCAATCACCAAATCCTGGTGGTGACGAATTATTGTCCACCACCTTCTTAGTTCGGGCTCCACTGTCATTAGGGAGTCATTAGGTTATTTTGAAGCAGGACTACATGAAAAATGAGAAGTACTATCGCCGGGACTCGAACCTGGACCTCTTGAATACGCATCGAGTGTTCTACCGTAGCACGTAGGCATGCTGGAAGGAGGGAGAAAATATAATGTAACTATTCTTAAATGCTATGAGGTGAAACAAAAGCCCAAAAGATCATCCATTATTTTAGAGATTATATGTATTGCCTACATTTCTGTTTAACAATGTTTTAAGAGTTTATTTATAACTAGAACAATAGGAAAAAGTTCCATTCCCTTTAGTCCTCTAAAATTTTTTGTAGTTCTCGATGCAAAATATTATCTTCCAGGTACATCATAATTCTTCACTCGACATTTATTTCGTCATCATGAATGTTCCATACGTTAATGCCCTGCAGCTGTCGTGAATATGTGTGTGAAATAAAAGCACACATGAGTAAATTTTCAAGAAGAAGTAACCCATGTAGTTGGAGGAAGCGTTGCTATTGGCTATAATTCGGATAAACAGGGTTAATTTGCATATGCAAGAAATGAATGTGGAAAACTACACCAAATGAGGATATCTGTCTTTCTGCTATAGCGAATGACTCATGTTCTGAACTTAATAATCATCTGCGAGTTTTCTCTTATTTCCCATTTTCTCCTCCTCTTCCTATCCTTAATTTTTATTTATGCATTTATTTATTACTGAACTAAGAAACGTCATCGACTATTTAGAGGAAAAACATGAAAAAGGTAAATATGCGGTGTGTCAACTTTGAAACCAGTTATTGAAATGATATCGTCTGCTTTTGTAACAGAATTTATTTTAAAAATAAATCCCAGTCATTCTTTCACAAATAGAAGTCAAATTCCGCCCGCTTTTGCAATCATGACTGCCAACAATCAAAATCAAAAAAGGAATTCCTACTCTTCCCATTGTTAGTTGTTCAATTTCTTTCGATTCGGATGCCCGCCCCGCCATCCAGGAATCATTCGGATTGTCGTCCACCATCGAGTGGGAGTGAGACTTCCAAAGTAAACAGGGTACAGGAGTCAGAGAGAGGGGGGTCCAAAGCGAAGAAAAGGGTTCGACGAGAAACAAAGTTAACGACGTCATTATCCTGATATGAGGGGGTTAGCTGGGCGTAGTCCGTCGCTATCATTAGCTGTAATTAACAGAACCAGGTGACAAATGCGATTTTATCGGCGGGACGAACATTTATTACCAGAGCAGCAGACGTCAAAAGGATTCGCGAGGAGAAGCTCTCGGGTCCCGGATTCACATGTCGGCACCGCCCATAACCGGACGATACCAGAACCTAAAAATCTTCGAGGCCCCCCTCGTCGTTTGGCTGCGGAAAAAGGGAGCAAGCGATCGAACGGAGAGCGACATCACCAGCAGGATCGTTTGTCATAGTAGGATTTGGAACGTCTGTCGATAAGATGTTGTCTTCAGCTGAGACAATTTTAATGATTCCCTCGAAGATGGAGTTTTTTTTAATCAAAAATTCCATTGTTCTCGAATTTTCTGGTTGCCTTTTCATATTCTTTACGCATTTATAACTTTTTCACTGTATAACAAACACATGTTTATAACTTTACAGTTTTTCTTGAGCAAACGTTTGTGAGATTCTCGATGATTTAAAAAAAAAAAAAAAAAAAAAAAAAAAAAAACTTGATCTCCCTTAACGTTTAAGGTTATTTGCTGCTCAGTAACAGATCTGAATTCGCCATATCTCACAGAATACATTTCTTGATAATTAAAACGATTATTCCGTAAACATACTTCAGAAGAAGTTTGCTTCCGTAGCATCTTTAAACAGTTAATTGCTTAAATACCAGAAGTCAGATATTTGTAACTAAATGAAAACTCTTTCAATTCTACAGTAGATTAAAAGTAGTTAACTAAGTAAATTAAATAAAGTTAATTGCTTTTTTAGAAATTAATTTATCTTTTTTTTTTTTTTTTTTTTAAAAAAAAAAAAAAAGAGAGAACTCTTTTGCAATGCTCAGCCCTCTTTCCAAATAGAGCTCCCATAAATTTAAATTTGCAGTTATATTTATTTTACGTAAACTTGTATTAAGAGGAGTGAGGCCTTCACATTTTTAAGTCTAATGTTATTACGAATTCTTCTTACTTGAGCTTTCTTAAACCTGCTTTAAATATCTAGCATTTTTTAACCTTAGCTCTCGGCTATATTGCAAAAATCTATATCACATAAATTCGCTTTTTGGTTACTAATGTTTACAGTATCTTGATGCCCGCTGTGCTGTGTCAAATATTAATTAAATACGATTTTCATGAAATTAAAAACGAAGGGTAAATATTAGCAAAACTAAATGAAAACTAATTAGTTTAGCTTAAAATGCTTTACATTTTTTTAAGGAAAACGTATTGAAGCCACTCGTTTCTCAAGTGATCATAAAATTAATTAAATTAAATTCCCTAAAGAGTAGTTGTTTGTCAAATGCACCTATCTAAGATAGTAAATAATTGTATTTGTCTGTTTAACCATGGGCATAATTAAAATTTTTAACATATTTAAAACACCAAAATATAAGAGGAAACTGAACGCCACAGATAATAAAATTAATTATGTTAATTGGATTTAATAACGTCGTATTTTTGAATTGAAACTTTTCTGAATGTTAAATTTAGTAATTTTTCAGTTATAACTGATATTTTTGAGTTCTACTTTTTTGCTTTGGGATCTGCCATATAGTAATAATTCTTGACATCTCGTTTGATAGTTTATCTAGGCTGTTTATGCAGAACTTGTGCAAAGAACCCATGTTCATTTGTAATGGCCATCATCATTTAATTTTTCAATACTTCTTCACTAAACGTTCTTTCCCGAATTGTTTGGGACGTCATTAAGTCTGATGCCTCAGATACTGTAAAACTGGAAAGTCTAATGTATTTGAACTCGACAGATCCTCGCTGTTCTTTCATATCTATTATAGGGTGTCTACACTCTGTCTTACTAAATCAACATATTATCACTAGTTTCTAGACCGTGGTACTGTAATTATGTAGATGAAATCGAACGCACACCAACTTTCCATTGAAATGTCAATCAATTTCCACTCATAGTCCTTGAAGATCAGGTACAACATAAAGTTGATTTGGGTTTCTTGAAATCACCGATTTTCTTGAAGCATATCAGAGTTGATGGAAGACACAGCTACAGGATTGTGAAATTTTAATTGTGATTGTGACACAGTTGCTTAAAAAACATAAGACGTACGATCTGGCAATCATGGTGGCCAGAAAATCTGTTTGCACGATTTTTTACAGAATTTTTTTAAAGTTGTACAGCACAGACTCCAAGAGTACTACGAATTTTTAAAAGCCTTTTGAATAAAACATTTTAAAATCTCCAAAAAGTTTGAAATAACCTGATATATTCTAAATATTTAGGTTTCTTTGCGTTTCATTGAATAACAATCGTATAAAGTGAATACTCTGTTTTGTTTTAATAATACATGAAACCACTGAATAGCGTTGCGAATGATACTATGTAAAATTTTAGGTTTCCAGGCTGTAGTACGTCTGTTTTTCACTACTAGAAAAACAGAGATTTTGCGTTTGTGTTTGACAAGAATTCAGTGAAAATGATGTAATTTGAAGATAGCTTCTATGACTAATTTTTGAACCTGGTATCACACAACTTTTCTGCTGTCGTTAATATCCCTCGATAAAAGATTTCTAATGTTAGTCCAAAATATCAAAAACTGTATTAGTTCCTTAGAAAGCAAGAGGCTGATATGTTACTCCAAAGGCCAAGAGATAAGGCTCAATATGCAAATATTTTATCTTCAATCATTAAGTGATTATAAACTACTACAAGATAATTAATAGCGTGTCGTCGTGAGATAAATTTAAAGTTCCATTCTTATTTCTTATCACGTATTATCTTCATATGCTCTTCGTATCAGTTAAACATATATGTTGTTTGCAGATTCATTTTATTAATCAACATACGAAATAAAAAAAATAAAGTATTTGGTTTCTTTTAGGTTCTTCGGACGAAGTGGCGAGACAACAGCAGCAAATGGTGTCGGCCTTGTCCTCCATCGTTAAACACCCTGATACACCAGGTGAGTCCACATAAACAGTCCGATCACATATCTAGCCGAAGCTTCTGCAGTAATTAACCTCTCCCCTCTCTCATTAGAAAATCCGAAAAAGGGCTTCCGTTCATTTGACTTGAAATTCAGATCAACTGCCATTGATCGATATCGGTTTTATGAAAAGAATCATATCTCTTCCGCACGTGGCTGAACAAATCAGAAAGAAAAATGATTAATTACGCCGAAATGTTTCATTCTGTTAAGCTCTTTTACGTATGCCTTAATAAAACTTTGTGTAGTTAAACGAGCGTATGTGGTGGATTAACAGCACAAAAAAACGTGCCTTCAGTGAAAATACAAAGATTCGTATCTGAGAAAGAAGAATTATTATTTTCTTTTTCTTTTAAACATTTATTGGGTAGACGTCCGAAAGAAACCCAGGGTAGACAGAGCTTACTTCTGGTGCATCGAGAAAAAAGTCAGATGCATTGAAAATGGGAATTATTATATCAAGAACATAGATTACTTTGAAAAATAAAATACTGGCAAGCTTCAAGAAAGAAGTATTGGCTGAATAATGAAACGGCTTCACATGAAAAGACAACTTTCACATTTTTGCAGGTATTTTAGAAGAGAATTTGCATGTATGAAAACCTTTGTAGAATTTTTAGAATGTTTGCATGTATGAAAACTTTTGTAGAATCACAAGAATTTTTAATTTTAAGCCATGAAAAACGAGCAATGCCTTCGCTGGGACTCGAACGTGGACCTCTCAAATACGCGAAGACTGGGCTATCGTTACACCACGAAGGCATGCTGGAAGGAGGGAGAAAATACCTTATATGCTCCCCTTCTAAAGAGCGACTGGTTATTAGAGGACCCAGTCGCCAAATCCTGGTGGTGACAGGTTATTGTTTACCACCTTTCAGACCTAGTGCCTGTTCAGAGGCATTAGGTTTATTCTGATATGAGTAAACTGAAGAATTCCGCAATGTCCTAACCGGGACTCGAAACTAGACCTCTCGAATGCGTGCCGAGTATATTACCATTACACCACGAAGGTATGCTAGAAGAAGGGAGTTTATATACCTTATAACCTCATATACGCGTGCTTGATATTTCGGTTCTTCTTTGCAAGAAACGTAATTATGAAGTCCTGATAAATGTTTCCAAACGAATATCCTAAGAAAAACATGTCGTCCTATCTTTGAATTAGTATGGAAATACATTCAAATGCACTTTGACAAAATATAAATAAATAAATAAATATCTGTAATTCTTAACAGTAACGTTTCAAGGGTACAAAATTCGAATTCATAAAACGTCCTGTTCTTCAACTATAGGAAACGTTAAAATTATTTTTGTAATCCAAGATAATTTTAAGGTAATTTTTTAATCTAACTTTCTTCGACAACCCTTTATAAAAAAAAAGGAGGAGCACGAGATTTTTATAAAAGCTTAAATCTGTTTTATTTTATCAAAAATATTTGTTTTTAATAGACATCAAGTACATCTATTTTTCTTTTGAAACAAAATTTCATTATTGGTTTTTATGACAAGAAAACTGACTACATGTTGACTTAATATTAAAATTTACTGTCACAGTACTTGAGAATATTTGAAACTTGAAAGAACTAACTGTATTTTACGTTGTATTTTGATAACGGAGTTTTTATAAGAAGAGAATCAACTGCTTTATTCAACTGCACTCTTAAATATTATAAATTTCTTTAATTAAATTTTGTAATAAAATTCGGAATCTAATTTTTTTAGTGTGTAGAGTCATTAGGTTTTTTGAAGCAGGAGACATGAAAAATAAGCTATGTCCTCGCCGGTACTCGAATTTGGAACCTCTCGAATACACGAGGGATGTGCCACTGTTACACTACGAATACATACTAGAAGGAGGGAGAAAATACGTGATAAATGTACCTAAAAGTATTATAAAATTGAAGAATATTTATCTTTTATGTTATTAAAGTTTTCAAAACACTGGTCAAAGCGATTATTATTTCTATAAATTGAGATTTCAAATGCATAATAAAGCGAAAACTTTCATGGTAATAACTTCTCGTAGGTGAGTAGCATTAAAAGTGACCAGTATTTCTCAGAACAAAAGTAAACATAAATATTTAATATCGCCTCTCTAATATCATGACCTACAGTAAAGTAAAGTTGTTTGAGGACCATGGATTCCCCTCTTAGATTAGTGTATATCTGAAACTATTTTTAGTATCCGTCGAAGTTTAATACTTCTGTGGTATAATCTGACGTTTTATAGTCATTCCTCGCAATTAACTGCATTCCATGTTTCTGGACAATTAGTTCAACTAAATTTAAGCAAAAACGAGCAAAAGAATTAAAGCGAATCAAAATTCGTCTTTTCATCTGTAGAGACATTAGGATTTTTTGAAAGCAGGAAAGATGAAAAATGAGCAATGCCTTCGCCGGGAATCGAACCACGGACCTCTGGAATACACGCCCAGAGTGCAGACCACCACACTACGAAGGCAGGCTAAGAAGGCGGGAGAAATACCTTATATACTCCCCCTTTTAAAAGGCGATTGGGGTTTTAGGGGACCCAGTCGCCAAATCCTAGGTGTGGAGAATCATCATCCATCACCCTTTTAGTTTGGGCGCCACTGTAGATACATTAGGATATTTTTGGATTCAGAAGGGATGAAAAATGAGAAACGCCTTCGCCGGGAATCGAACCACGGACCTCTGGAGTACGGGCCCAGCGTGCAGACCACCACACTACGAAGGCATGCTAAGAAGGCGGGAGAAATACCTTATACATCTACTTCCCGATTAACTCATTGCATATTCATTGTATTATATCCTCTTTTAATACTCTATCCCAGAGGTTCTCAACCGGTGGTACGCAAGAGAAAAATAGATGGTATGCAAAGAAGTGAAACTATTAAATTCAAAAATTAAAGCTCCAACATCCTAATTGAGTTTTTTTGTCTAACACACGTAAATTTATGCGATCTGAGCTTTGTTCAAGAGTGGTGGTGATAGTAGTACTTTGTAGTGGTGGTACTAAAGGTTTCCCAATTTTGTTTAGATGGTACGCGTTAGTCAAAAGGTTGAGAACCGCTGCTCTATCCCGTATCTCTGCAATCCAGTTTTACTTTACGGTGGTACAGAACGCAGGAATGAACCCGTATAACACAGAATTCTTGGAATACAGTTTCACTCTAATATGAATTACCCATATAATAAACATCGAGATTCGTATTTTTTTTTTTTTTTTCTCTCTCTCCATTATCCAAAGCTTAAAATTACATTAAACTCGTTTTTAGGTTAACTGTAAGGAAATTATTGAGGGAGAGGATGTTAAATTATATCCCTGAACTTATCTGACGAAAACAAAAATGTACCCTTTAAAGAGTATTTGCAAAATTTTAAAACAAAGTGTCAAATATAAATACCTCTGAAGAAACTTTAAAAGATAAGGAAATTTAAGAAATAAAAAAAAGAAAAGAAAAAAGAGAGGGAAAAAAAAATTGTCCTGTTACACTTGACATAAGATGTGTAATATATCTTTCCAGCTGCAGATTACCATGTATTATTACCAGATTACCATATGCATGTGTAATATATTCTTCCAGTTACAATTTACAGATTGAAAGATTTAAAAACAATAATGTGTATCTTAATGATTTCATTTTTTCCCCATTTTTGATAATTTACCTAATTGCTATAATTTATAAGGCTTTTGTAATTTATATGTAAGGTTTATCCTAAATTTTTAACAAGTTATTTTAAGTTAAAGCTAGTCTCCTGTCCATCCTAATTTCAGCTTACAATTTCCTACCAGAATGCGTTTTAAAATCGCTTTTAATGCTAATGAGTAAAAGTAGTAGTCGAAATTCCTCTGACTTTGGGAGAAAGCTTTAGAGTTTCTGACTAGCGCGCGTTTGCCTTTTGGCTACGTCTCTCTAAGCTGTTACTATGCTCGGCCGTATTACAGGCTCTTGATAGCTTCGCCAGCTAATTCGATATTTAGGGGCCAACTACTTAGAAATTTGTTAGCTTCGGCTATATCTCTTTAGTTAAGTCTTATTTCTTATTTTATTTTATTTATTTATTTATTTTTTATTTTTTATTTATTTATTTATTTATTTATTTATTTATTTATTTTTTGAGTTCAAGCCCAAGTGGAGGCTGTGCTGTACGCCCTGAGCAAGAGGTCATATGTTAAAAGTTCTGTATGCATGATACCGATTTATGAAACTACTGAAGTGCAAGTAGTACATCTGCGTTCATACGTGCATAAATCCACGCTCACCTAGCAAAGAGTTTGTTATATTTTTTAATAAATGTATTCCTTAATTTTATAAAAACAAAACAATTCACTCAAATTTGGAATCTAAACTTACCTTTTTGCACTCCTCATACTGTGTCACTTTACATGATAATTATTCCTAAAGATTTTAACCACCACGTTACACCAGAATTATTGAAATCTCCTGAAAACTGAGAATGATTGCCACGAGTTCTATTCAAAGAGAACAAAAAAGTAATTATTGCGTTAAATTTGCAAGAATGAAACATGTATATAGCACTCAAACATAGAACATTTTAAAATATGTTTATTTAAGGTATTATTATATTGAGAAATAAACTTCAAACCTATTGCCTTAATTACTTTGTCATCTAATTCGAGCGCAAATACACTAGCACCCATTTTCTGCGTATGTCTATCCATCAGATCCATCGGCGAAACAACCTACTGAGTAATCAACTTCCTAGAGGTGTGAGAAAGAGGACTATTTACATTTTCAAGCTCATAGCTATTCCTTCATAACCCACCGAACTTCCCATCAGATTCCAGAGATGATTTATTCAGGGGCGTCTTTCTGCCACCTCAAATGCAATTTTGATGGGGTTTCGATTAAAAGCGCATTAATGCCATCTCGGTAATGACGCGGTCTTCGCCCCAGACTGCAGAGAAAGGAGGATGACATTTTTCGGACTGGTCAGTGATTTCGCCATATTCATTAGTGGTCGTCATTTGG